AGGCCCCCGCCGCCCCGCCGGGTTCCGCCTCCTCCGGGTCGGCGTGGCCTGCGATTGGCTGGGGCGGAGGGGCGGGGCCGCGCTCGCCAATGCTCGCGGCGAGCCTCCTGCGGAGGCGTGGGAACGCTGCCTCGCACCTAGGGTCCGGGAGCTGCGCGCAGGCGGGAGAGGCAGCGGCGAGCGTGAGCGCGAGGTTGATAGCTCCAGCTAGGGCAGCACGCGGACGTGGGCGCGGGCGCGGCGGGGGAGGACCGTAGAGGGGCGGGCTCCAGACCTCGGGTTTCGGCCCTCCCTCGCACCCCTCCCCGCAGTCTGGCGGTGAAGTTTCTGTCTTGTGTTTAAAGAATAACCCCAAGCGCGTGGCTGAGTGTGAGCGAGCGTGTAGTGACGTTGGGAGGCGCCGTGGCTTAACCGAACCGCCCCACTCGGCTGTCCCTTGTCTGGACCAAAACTGCTGACTGGCTGACCCTGAGGGTCACATTTGCCCTCTGGGGTTTTTGAAAACCTTAAATCAAAGTTGCTTTTCTCCCTGGCAACTCCCAAGGCTGCTTTCGCGGCCTCTGGGCTGTGGACAGATAAGGACGTGAGTTTCCCCGACCAGGTACTTAACCGCTGGCTGTCTGAGGGTCTGAGCCCGGCTACCATGTGACGTTCGATTTGCTCTAAATCAGTTATTTCCATCTGGCCACGGGGGCTGTGGATAGTAGACTGCGCTGAGTAGACCGTGAGCCGGAGTTATGTCCGCTCTGGTGGCAGGAAAGACTAGACCGCAGGTATTTCAGGACACAATTTTAGTAGTTTTTCAAGTTCGAGTTTTTCGGGCTTGGATTATCCAGATGATGGCAATTCTCCATTCCCCTTGGTGTGTGTGCAGTCGTAGCGGTAGAGTTAATGAGAATTCCGAACGTGAAAAAATTCGCGCTTGGAAATTCAGTTTGTTTTCTAAAGTACGAATTCGTGTCCAGTTTTTAGAGCGTTGGACAAGGTGGGTTGTAAAAACTACAGAAGTGCTTTCAAAACATGTTTTCTAGCGGCTCTTTGCGTGTGTTGCGGTACTTGAACAGGCTACGCCAAGGTGCCTCAGCGAGGGCTGGAGCTGAGCAGACCGAGCGCGAGAGGCGGTGTGGGCTCGTAGGGCCCCGAGCCGCTGTACCGCGAGGCGGGCGGCGGGTTGGTCGCGGTCGAGCCGGAGACTCGTTGCTCCGGGACAGCTCCGTGCTTTCTTTAGTGGAGGAGAAAAGGCTTTGAGAAAGGGGCGTCTGTCATTCATCATAACCGTCCGCCACGGACGGATTCCGGATTTTCCAGGGATCTGCTTAGGGCGTCCCATTGACACTCCATTCTGTCCGCACACAAGACCGGCGCGGGGCGGGGAGGCGGAGAGGAAAGGATGCGTCGGGAAAAGACTGGGCCCGGGCGGGGGTTGGGCGGGGGAGAGCGGGAAGGACTTGCAGCCAGCGTGTTAAGCCCTCATTAAAACACAAAACCCCCTTCCCCACAAGCCCTCGTCTCTTTTGTGCGGTCCCCGCCGCGGTGCCTGCAATAACCGTGTGAACAGAAACCCAAAACGTTTCATCCTGACTTCTGAAACTTAACCTCGGGCAAAGCACACAGTCGGCGGGGGCCGGGCAGGCCCTGGTGGGCTGGACCAGGTCAGCTCAGGACGCCGGGGACGCGGGGGGGTGGGGTGGGGGGAGCAGTGACCCCCCAACTCGGCTGCCTGCCTCAGGGTGGGTACCCAGCCCGCGAGGGCCTCTACTCATCTGAGGGCGCTGAGCAGAGCTGAGCCGGCCGGCTTCCCACGCGCTCCGACCTCCCCCGACGTCACCCGCTCCGGATCCCTGTAGCTCTGCAGTGCTGAGCCTAACCGGCGGGTCGCCCGCCCCACCTCCAAGGAGGATGTGCCAATGGCCAGTCGGCTCGGGCCACAGGTGAATGCGCTGCACCAGGCCTGGCGTGAATTCAACCTTCACAACTTTCAGTGAGGGATGCACGTTTTTCTGAAAGTGAATGCCTACAAGTGCAATTAACGTTTGCCACGCGAGCAAATAAACCCGCGCTTCCAAACGCCGGAGGCAAAATCTGAGATCGTCATTGAAAAAAATTAAGAGTTCATTCTCACTATATTAGTGCATTTGATTACTATAATTGTGAAAAATTGCAAAGAGGGAAATGGTTTGCTTGCAATAAACTAGCAACTGGTTATAATTTTTCCATATTTGTCTTTGAAGACTTAACTGCTGTAACGTGTTATAAAGAAAAATACAGCAGGGACGTTCGAAAAGCACACGCGGATTTAATGTCGCTTACAAAAATTTTTTTAAGCAAAGAGGGTCATATTTTAAAAAGTGTTTGGAACAGTGCCGGCACATGGTAAGCGCTATATAAGTCCTTTAAATAAACAAGAATGCATAGGGCAAAAGACCTCGGTGTCAAAACAAAAACCACTACCAAAAGAATAATATGCTCACTTATCTGCAAAATAATCGCAATTAGGCAGCACGGGATTTTTCAATTAGGTCTTTTATTCCCCTCAAGTATGCCATTTGACTATCCCCTGGTTAGGCATCTTGTCTGATCTATCTTCCACTGAAAGTAACTCTCGGGTCAAAGGAAGAAACGGGGAGGATCGCCCCGGTTTACTTAGAAACGGTTGTGGATTGTGGATTGTCGGGGGAATAGAGGGGGATGGAGAGGTGGCCTATGCGGAGAGAAAGAAAAGAGAATGAGAGAGCGGTGGGATTTCAAGCCTCATCACCCCTCAGCAACATCCTTTTCAGCGAAAGTTGGTTGAAGGCTTACTAAGAGCCCCGGCAAAAGAAAAGATGTCCGCGCACAGAGCAAACCACGGGCTCTTTCCTTTTCAAAGATTTGTACAATGAGATAATGAGACCGAAAGATATGAGAGACTTCCCTAGAAACGAAAAGCCATTAAGAGAGAACGTTCAGGACGAGGATCTAAAGGGAATGGAGGAGGGGGTAATCTGCCGTCTTCCCGAAATTGGTCATCTCGCCCATGTTTTGTGCTTATGTGATTTAACTCACTTAAAGGCGTGGGAGTGAGATGTCGAATGCCAAGATCTGGAAACATCAGACTCAATGGCCTTGATCCCCCTTCCCCAACTCTTCTACCCATTTAATTTTGCAGCTGTTTAAATTACAATTTTTGTACCTGTGTTTCTAAGTATGGCAATCTTGACCTAGTTTTATATTGTCCCACAAAATTTGGGTTTTCTTGCACAGATTAGTGAAGTGCTTACTTTGCTGTAATTCTAACATTCCCCTTGCACCATTTAGGGAAGGAACCTAGGATTAAAAAAAAAAAAATCTTCTTGGTCTGCTTTTTTCTTCCTTAGAGCTCTCTAATGTTTCAAGATCAATTGTCATACACTTTGCTATTTGTAACTTCTCTGAATCCTTTGAGATGCTCCTTAGGATTACTTAAAAGGTATCTGCCATTCCAATGTTTGGCTTCTCTTAGAAAATCACCAAGGCATGACACCACTTTAAAAAAATGTTTTAACTTGGTTGTCAGTGAAATTATAGGCAGCTCTGTTATGTAAAGACTATGTTAGTCTGAGAAGCCTGTGTGCACATAGTTCAAATTGAGAAGTCCAATTTTGGGCCTATCTGAAATACATATTATAGTTATTTGCGAGCTTTCTCTTGCAAAGGGAAGACAAACAGGTTGCCCTGAAAAGTGGTAGTCTATTTGCAATTGCTGGGGCAGGTGACAAGCACATGCATCTGTGGGCAGTTTTGTTGGGCTTCCCTCCCTGACTGGAAGGCTATTGTGAGCTGGCAATGTTTTAAAGTGTGTGAAAAAGCTGCACCCTTGAGAGTGGAGGCCAAGGGCAAGATCCTTGTAAATTTTAATACCTTTCTCAACATCAGGCTGGCAGAAGGCAAGCCAACCTAGGGTCACGTAAGACAGGACACATATTAGCAAGCCAGTAAAGTAAAACAAAGCAGAAAGCAAGGGCAGATGTAGGCCCACCAACCTTGAAGTCAACTATAAAAGGGAACTGCTTTACTGGTTAACAATTATTCTTGCCTGGTCACATAAAATGCATCATATTTCTTGGCTTACCCCAATAGGTGCTACTTATTTGTTACATCAAAAACTCTGAGGTAGGAAATCTTAGACCCAAAGCCTCCTTTCTTCGAAGTTAGAATGTTTAAATTGATCTCTGCTACTAAGGGGTAATTTATTTAAAAGCTTTTATTTCATTAATAGTGTTACTGGTTTTTAGCACATGCCCAAGAATGAAAGCTGGTTTTATTGTTGGACCCTTGAGGAAAAGGTTGTATAATTAAGTAACTAGTATTCCATATCCCTGTAAGCCACATTCAAAAGATAACTACACTCACTCTATCAACTTCTTTGTGAGGGTTAAATTGATATTGGCAGGCTTTTCTTTCAAAGAGATTCTTTTAAATTTCTGTTTTCTTGAAGTTGGTTTGACTGGAATTTTTTTTCCTCTTTAAGGATACAGTTAGATATATTCACTTCTCTCATGAAAATAATCTTTTAACTAACCTCATCCGCATCCTCTAGAGTAGGGCCTGGCAGGCAGGGTGTGCACAATAAATGGTTTGAACTGAAATTCTTTTGAAATTAATGAACTTCCTGCTTCTTTCCACATATATAGAATTTAAATACATTGGCATAATAAAATAGCAAAAAACAACCATGAATTTAAAAGCTAGGAAAGCATTTACTGTTAATGGGAACTTAGTTTAGCTCTGAGCTTCCTGGCAGCCAAGTCAGAAAGAAACACAGTGAGTTTTCTAATTCTTGTAACCAGAAAAGAGGAAGCACATCTGTTTTTCAAAAAAGAAAAACTTTATCCAGTAGCTGAATTCTAAAAGAACTGCATGACCGCTTTGTTCACAGACTTTAAAATTTTTATTTTATTGAAAACAGTTATTTTCTTTGTCTAAAATTTTCTTCCAAGTATTTGTATCAATTACAACATGAACAATAGCATTCATATTATGTGTAAATGAAGACAATAGTTTATCTCCTAATAGCTGAATAAGCCATCTACTAAGCTCTCAAGTTTAATTAACTGACATAAATAGGACCAGTACCTCAAAGAGTTACAAAAATCTGGATTCTCCATAGGAAAGTGTCTGCTTCTAGTTTTAGAAAAAAAATTTAAATCAAAGATTCCTGGAACTGGTTGGTTGGCATTATTTGATGAGAGTGAAAGAAAGAAACACTATAGGTTTCTGAAATATCAAATGCTGTGGAAAAGTTTAAGAGTAAAATTATTTCCCACTAGAATGCAAATGAACACCTATATTTCCTTAACACTTTCACTGGAAATTTTATTAGATGTGTGCACATTTTATGCCCTTACTGCTTATTTTAAAATTGATAGATGACTTTATGGGGAGGGGAATTCTCCTAGATTGGAAATAAGTTGCTAATTTTAGATTTTCTGTGGAAAAAAAATAACAGGCTATTTCTGGACCTTCATGCTTTGCAAACCTATTGAAGTACATACTTTGTGAGAAACAGAAAAATAGCAAGTTTTTTGTTTTTTTTTTCCCCCAAGACAGGACTGTATTTTTCTAGCGGATATGAGTTTAACTAACTCTGGGGATCTGTTGGTTGAAAGGCAAAACACAGAAGTTTTAAAATTTTTCTGCCTATGGCCTTCAAAATAATTTAATGTAATAATGTATTGTGGGCATTGGAGATAGATATATTTTTTAGAGATAGATTTTGGTCTTAAGTAATAGCTCATTCTATTTCTAGGAAATGAATACTTAAAAAAAATAACAGTTCTCTTAGGAACTGCAACATTCATCAAGACAATGCAACCTCTTTGAAAACAAAATGTCATGGTGCTTAGCAGAGAGCAAACATGCTCAGCTGCAGGATGGAAAGGGCTGTGTACTGTACCTTGAATATGTAAGAAAGGTGCATCTTGAATATGTAATAAAGGCGTTTCCATAGCACTTTTAATCTGAGAATCCTAGGGCATTAGTGAATCATGTATGAATCAAAACTCAGAGCGTTGTAGGGTTTACTTGTCAAGGCTGGCTATCAGGATTTTGCTAGAATAGTCTCAACAGGAACATTAATAAAGTCTGAAAATAGGTCAAGATATGAATAGCAAATAGAAAACCCATACAAATGTTGTTTATGGGCGCTTAAGTGTTTATCCATCTATAAGTAGATAGAAGTGTCTATATACAGATACATGTACAAAGCACAAAATAATTAAAAGTTTTTAAATTGACATGCCTTGATTGTTAGTATATAAGAGGCTATGGTAATACCTGGTACAGACCAGTAGTTCAAGTCAGAGAGGAAATGCTGCATTGCATAATTAAACCACCATTTGTAAAAAGGAATTTGCAAATTTTGTAGGTTTTGTATTTTCTCTATTTCTGAAAATTGCATTCATTATATTTAAGTTTATTTTAGATACTGAAATACCTTATCTTTTGTCTATTCTATCATCTACATTTTTAAATCAGTTTCTTCAATTTTTAAAATGTACACCCTTGGAAAAGCAGACTTTAGTATTTTGAATCTCTTGGTGCAAGGGGAATAAGATTGTTATATAAAAGGGTTGGGAGAGTGAGTTTCTCTGGCATTCAGGTGAAACACCTGAAAAATCATGTTCTGTTTGTGTGAACCCATGAAATATTGATAAATTAACTATATATTTGTTTGCATAGATTCCAGTTGTGATAACGAAGGTGTGAGCAAAATTTAAAATTGAAAAATTCTAACAATAACTTAATGTTTTTGTGTGAATTGGGAAAAGAATATCCACACTTTGATTTTAACAATGTAGTACATCTCAAAATGTAGTTTGAGAACTACTATGTTGGGAACATCACAGTAGGAGCTAAATAAGTAGAATTGTGGGGGAAATGATCTAAAAATGAAACCAAAGAGAGTATGAACAGAGATCACTAACAGAATTGTTAGTTTGTATACTTGAAAGTAATAAGACTCACTCATTAATCATGCCTGATTTTTTGGACTGTGCCTCTCTTAAATTTGTTCTTATTTCCAGGCCACTGAAGTATTAAATACCTACTTTGAGCAGTGCTCTCTGTTAAGCAGTGTGGGTAATATCTGGTGAATAAGACCCAATTCCCACTCTCCAGAAATAGCAGGAGAAATAATATAGGATTCCAAATACAAGGAATTGTTACACAAGATGGGATATATTCAAGGCCAAAGTAAAATAAATCTGCATGCTGTGGGCATAAAGTGAAAAATTCATTTTCAGAGGGTGATTTCATCCATGGTAGTTCCAAAATTTTTGTGTAGGATTAGAGGCAGCGATCGTGTTGGAAGGGGGATGGGGGGGTGGCCCAAGGATTTTTGTCTTCAATTTCCACTTATATAATAAGCACAGTTTTCATTTAGATATTATGATTATTGGGATGTCTTTGTATTGCTGTCAAACATTATGAGGAGGGTTGTCTAACCTCTTATCTATCCTTTGGTGCAATTGTAGGATTAAGAGAAAAAGTGGCATTTGAGCAGAGCCTTGAAAGGTGTCTGGAATAGCTACAATCCTAAACACACTTTCTTGGAGAAGGATCAGCATAATCCTAAACACACTTTCTTGGAGAAGGATCAGCATTTGCCAAGATACACAGAGGCTGAAGATGCAGGCCATTCTTAGGGAAAGAAGTGATCCTTAGCTAGAGTGAAGGATCTGGAGGAAAGGTGGGTAAAAGGGAGAGAGTTGTTTGGGGGAAATGAATTAAGTTGTAGCCAAATCATAGAGAAGTTTGCCTGCCTGAAAGAGCTATAATTAATTAGATTGATCCAATCATGTTTCTTCCTTGTTTTGACATCACTAATTTGAATTGAAAACATTGTAGTAGAAGAAAAATTCCAGGAAAATTTGTCTTTCTAAATGAAATTTTGATACTCTTTGTTTCTCTGTGTAAGTCTTTTAGCCACTGGAAGAGAATTGTCAGGACTGTTAACTTGGCCTTTGGGAAACTCATAGTATTTTATTACATTTCTTGGATTTATTTAATATGACCAGTTTAGATGAAATAATATGTTCACTGTCTATTTTGTGGAGAATTCACAGAATTATGCCATGACTTGCATATCAGTATTTACAGATTTGTTTAAAAATCTGCCATGTCATTATTAAAATCAATAAATGGTTATACTCTCAAGGATTAAGAGAACTTTCTAAAAGTGAGATTTTCAGCTTCGTTGATTTCTGAGTAACCTATGGTACATGAACACTGCAAGCTATCTCAGATTTACCCAGATTAGATATTTGCAGTGAAAGATTGAGCCCTGATTCTTTCCTCTACTTTCTTGCTGAAAGAGAAAAATAAGTTACAGTTACTTTTCTACTGGGTGCCATAAATATTTAGGGATGTTACAATTCAGGTGTCCTTTAACTGTTTTTAGACTCATAAAGTTACATTCTTCCCCAAAAGGCCCTGTGGAAGTGAAAGTAACTTGCGTTTAAATGTTGAATATTCAATCAGTAAACAACAGTAATGTTTAAGAAGGAAATGCAAGACAGCCTTAAAATAGTGATTTTCTTTTAGTCACTGCATTGCAGGTCAGAATAAAACAAAGCTCCTATTAGTGAACAAAGGTTAACAAGATAGGGCTCTTACTGAATCAGAGTGGAAAACTTGCAGTGCTGAGATTTGGAATTGGATATTACTTTACATCCAGCTTCAATCCACTGATCAATCATCTAGTGAGCTCTTTAGGGAATTCAAAAGCAATGTAACATGTGATTTTGGGGGGAACTTACTATCCAGAGGTTACATTAATGATTGGAATAGCTGCCATTTGGCAAGTGCTTACTTTGTGTCAGTTAGCTAACAAAGCACTATGTGGATTCATTTCTTTAATCCTCTCTGGAACTCCTTGAGGTAGGACAATCATCATCTTTATTTTACTGGTGAGAAATCAGACCCAGTGAGGTTAAATAACTGCTTAAGGTGTTATGGGTATTAAGTGGTAGAGTCAGGTTTGACTCAGGAAATCCAAAAACGGGTCAGTGCTCTTACCCATTACTGGATATTGCCTCCAAAAAGGATGCATGTGAGACAGATACGGCCAGTGCAAACAGGTAGAAGCAATGCACAGTTCGAGAAAAATTTGTTTCCCAAAGACCATTTATAAGTGTATTGTTTGGAGTGTCAAATCTCATAGCAACTATGTGATACCTGGTAGTTTTTTGTTTTTTTTTTTGGTTTGGTTTGGTTTTGGATGTGTGTGTGTGTGTGTGTGTGTTTTGTTTGTTTGTTTGTTTGTTTTGAGGGTCTACCTTCAAAAAGCCAAACTACTCCACAACAAGAATGTTTGTGGTTAAGAATATAAGCTTTGGCTTCAGACACTAGGGGGTCATTCCCAACTCTGTCACTAACCACATGGCCTTGAGCAGTCCTTTTTCCAAACCTAGGACCTCAGGGTTAATGATACCTAATAAAAGAGTAAGGAACAAATAAAATAATGGGTGTCAAGTGCTTAGTAATATGCTTGACACATGAAAAGAGACAGATATTATAACTAATTAACTAATTGTGGGTCCTGATAATAGGGGACCAACTTCCTTGTTACCTTTTGTTTCTTTATTGAAATTGAAGGCATGTTTTATTGCTTTTATATTATAGTAGCAATACATGATTTTGCAGAAAAATTAGTAAATTGAGTTAGCAGTAACATTTAAATTGCCATTTAACCTGATAATCAGACAATCACCATTAGTGATTTCTAAATTGAAGCTGGATGTAAAGTTTATCCTTCTAATTTTATATATTTTTTCATTTTCACAAAACATGAAATCATTTTGCCTAATACTATTTGGTAAACTGCTTTTTAAACCTAAATTAGTATAGTGAACATTTCCTCCAGTCATTAAACAGTCCATAACATCATTTTTTTTTTTCTGATAGTGTAGTAGTCTTTGGAATGGATGTATCATAAATTTACTTAGCTGTTTCATATTGGGCACTTAAATGCTTACAGTTTTTTTCTATTATGAGCAATGCTGAAATTTAGAGAAACCTTATAGGTAAAAAAAATGTGCATGTGTTTTAATTATTTTTAGTCTAAATTATCGGGAATAGAGTCAGGTGACAAAATAGTATTCAAATTGTAATCACTTTTGATATTTCCTGCCAAATTACCTTTAATAACAGTTGGACCAATTTATATCTCTGCCACCAGTGTGTAAGAATATTCATTTTTCTGAATCATCACCAACACTAGATAGTTCAATAGTTGCCAACCTGATAGGTGAAATAGTATCTATTTTAATTTTAGTTTTTTTATTATTAATGATGTTAGATTTTTTTTCATAATCTTATTGGCTTTTTATAACTTCTTGTGACTGTTAACATACTTAATGTTTCTCTTGAGGTAGTTGTCTTTTTTTTTATTAGTGAGTTAAAGCTGCTAATTATAAACCAAGGCACTTAATGTTTGTCTCAAATATTATAAATATACATATATATTTATTTCAGTTTGTCATTTTCTCTTAAATCTTATTTATGCACCTTTGATGTTTATGTGTAGAGGTTTTTACTTTTTCAAGTTTATCAGTATTTAATTTTTTTTCCAGTTAGAAGCAATCTTTATTCAATCTAGAATTTACTTTGGTATATTTTTTACATAGGAATGAATTTTAGTTCATTCAGCAAACATTAACTGCATGCCTACAATGTACCAGGTATCATGCTTTTGCTTGGGAAATTGGTACACAATGCAGGCAGAATTCCTGCCCTCAAGAAGGAGTTCATCCTTTAAATGGCTCATTAGTTGTCTCAGGATAGACTATTGATGCTCCTACATTACTGTTTCACTGACTTATATTCCTTCTTCATTGCATACCAAATTCATGTGTATAAACAGGTCTGCTTATAGACTTTCTATTTGATACCATTTACTTGTTTCTCTGTTTCTGTGCCAGGATCTCACTGTTATTAATTATTATAATTTTAAAACAATGTATTTTAATTAATAGTAAGACAAGGGCTAATTTCATTCCTCTTTCTTTTTTCTCTAATTTTTTCTTGACTTGTCCTTTCTTTCTTCCTTCTTTTTTTTTTTTTTTACTATTTTTTTCATTGTGGTATAACGTGTATAACATAAAACAAAATTTTCCATTATAAGCATTTTTAAATTCACAATTCAGTGGCATTAATTATATTCACAATATTGTGCAGCCATCATCACTATCTCTAAAACTTTTCATCACCTCAAACAGAAACTCCGTGCCCATTAAATAATAGCTTCCTACAACTCACTTCCCCCAACCCCTGGTAACTTCTAATCTACTTTCTCTCTCAATAAATTTGCCTTTTCTAGATATTTTATATAAGTGGAATCATAATATTTGTACTTTTATGTCTGGCTTATTTCACTTAGCATGTTTTCATCCATGTTGTAGTATGTGTCATAACTTTATGCTATCTTATGGCTGAATAGTCCATTGTATGTAATACTGCATTTTGTGTATCCATTCAACTATTTATATAGTTGATAGAGCATGCAACTCTTGATCTTGGAGTTATAAGTTCTAGCCCCATGTTGGGTGTAGAGATTTCTTTAAAAAATGCTTATACTTCTGGAAGAACTTTAGAATCATTTTCTCAAGTACATCCTCTAATGTCTTTTTTTTTTATTTTAAAGATTTTCTTTATTTTTGCGAGAGAGAGAGAGCACATGAGCGGAGGCAGGGAAGGCAGGTTGGGCATGGGGAGGGGAAGAGGGAGAAGCAGACTCCCCGCTGAGCAGGGAGCCCCATGCAGGACCGGACTCAATCCCAGGACCCTGGGATCATGACCTGAGCCAAAGGCAGATGCTTAACCGACTGAGCCACCCAGACAACCCATCCTCTAATGTCTTCTTAACATCCTCTCATGTGACTTTCTATCTACCTTTCATTCTTGTCTCCCCAAGTTACTAGTACTGAGTGCCTTCATAATGACCCAAACCCAGCATTGTACTTTGATCCTTGAACATTTCTTTCCCTCAAGCTGCTCCATACTTTAAAATTCATTACTTGCATCTTCATTCTCCTAGTAAGAATGGATAGTTCCTCAGTGTAATTGATCTCATAGAGGTATTGGGAAAACAGTCTGAACTGGCCCTAAGTTGTGTGTGTTAGATGCCTCTTGGTAGGAATGTGTATTTTAGGAAAAGGATGTTTGTGGACTTAAATGATTTGCTATTTTTTCAAATTCCAATAGTATAACAAAGTCTCTTTTTCAAATTTCAGTCTACAGAAGGGTAATGTATTTTTGGGTTGAGGGCCAGCTCCTTGAGTCTGCCTGCCCATCCAAGCTACCTGAAGGCATTCCTGTTTTGTCACATATTATTTCTGTTCTCACTGATGGACCCATTAATTTTCTTTCTTTTTGGAGTTCCTCCTGTAGTAGTGACATTACTGAGCCCATTAAAGGTGGAAGTGTTGGAGGTAGTGTGTGTGTCTGATTGGCAGGGGTAGGTATAAATCAGGGAGTATTTTAAAATAGAGACTTGGGGCACCTGGGTGGCTCAGATGGTTAAGTGTCTGCCTTCGTCTCAGATCATGATCCCAGGGTCCTGGGATTGAGCCCCGCATCGGGCTCCTGGCTCAGCAGGGAGCCTGCTTCTGCCTCTCCCTCTGCCTCTCCCTCTGCTCATGCTCTCTCTCTCTCTGTATCTCTGTGTCACATATGAAAAAATAAAAAAAATTAAAATAAAATAAAATAGAGACTTAATGTAAATAATCAAATGCTAAACTGTGGCTGCTAGTCCACAGGTCAGGGATGGAAAACAGAAATGAGGCTGGCATGTTATGAGACAACTTCATGGGTGTTAAAGAGTAATTTATTTGAAAAAGTTATGTTTCTTCTATTCTTTGCAGAGGTATGGACAAGCTCCTAGAAGAAAGAAACTGTGGTTGACCCTTGAACAACATGGGTTTCAACAGTGCAGATCCACTTATGTGTGGATTATTTTTTATGACTATGGTACAGTACTGTAAGTATATTTTCTCTTTCTTATGGTTTTTGTAATAATGTTTTCTCTAGCTTACTTTATTGGAAGGATATAGTATATAATACATATACAAAATTTGTGCTAATTGACTGTTGTTGGTAAGGTTTTTGGTCAACATTAGGCTACTTACTAGTTGTTACGTTCTTGGGGAGTCAAAAGTTATTGCAAATTTTTGACTACGTAGGGGTTGGCACCCCTAACCCCTATGTTGATCAAGGGTCAACTGTATTAGATTGGTGGTGATTATTCTTCCCCTGTTGTATGTATGTATGTATAATGGAAAGCGCAATGGCTTTGGAATCATGCAGACTTAGGTTCTTGACTCTGTCACTTAGTAGCCTGTGTTATCTTAGCCATATTAATTTTTCTTCTAAGACTTAATTTTCTCAACTGTAAAATATACATTACTGAGTTGTTTTAAAGATCAAATAAGATAAATAACATGAAACCTCCTAGCAATATATAGTCCATTGTATATTCTCAATGAAGGTCAATTCTAAATAACAACAAAAATAATCTGTATGGGGAAAAGTATTTGTAGCTCTGAAACTGAATGTGTCAACCCTTTTTGTTAATGGCTGAATAAAGATGTCTTAATTTTTTGAAATGCCTCAATTTTCTTATATGTAGCTTTCATTTCACGCTTTGCTAAATTATGGTGCTTGCAAAGCTCCTTGAACTTTACCAGTACAAAGCACACTGTAAGCAGGATGGAATTAACATTATCCCTGATCTGTAAAGTATGGTACCTGCATTCTTAGTGATTGACAGGATACATGTGTATAGTGTTGATGTTGCCAAGGGACATATTCTTGCTTGAGTCTTGCAGCAGTGTTTTGCCACCTGTAACTGTGCTGAATAGAAGTGGTCCCATCTATCATTTCTGTAGCTTTTCCCCATAGAAGCAGTCTTGATAAGGATGAGAAATCCAGGACATCACAGTATCAACAATCCTTTCCTCTTCAAAGGCATCTTTCAGACAAGGTTCTACCAGTCCCTTACAAACATTAATTATATAAATCTTATACACTATTGCTTTGTGGGAGGTGAAGTATTTGGTAAAAATGCTCATCTGAACAGAGGTTGTCTGTGTGGGGGCAGGATGGAAATATGAAAAGTGGGAAGTGGGTGCTCAGCATGCATTCATTGCTGATACAAGGTCAACTGTGTGCTTGCCTAGTCCTGTGTACACTTCTGCTAGGTTTTCAACTAATGTATAAAATACAGGCTATTCTTTGTTAGAAATTTGTGAGTGGTATGAGCTACTTGAATACTAACGATGTTAATTCTTAAGGTTAATTCTGCATACTGCATACCCAATGGCACCCTGAGGTCATATGATGAAGAAGCAACTTCAGGTTGAGCTCAGATTGAGTCCGGATGGCTCAATCTGACTCCGTAGAGAATTAAATGGCAAATAAGAAATTTGGGGGCCCTTCATCAGAGTGGTAGAGAATGATTTAGTGGAGAAGTGAGCTTTAAACTTGATAGCAATGGTGTATAGGATTTATATGATTTATATGTTGGTGTCTACACTTTTTTGTTTTGTTTTTGTTTTATTTTATGATTATTGTTCCTAATCTGGGGCCCTTGTATCACCAGTGATTCACAATAGTAGTCATGAATATTTTTTTGGAAAAAAAGTCATTATTTTTATTTTTAAAAGCCAAGAGAGATCACATACATATTATTTATTTTAATCTTTAATAATGCTTTTTAGGCAACTGAATAATATATTTATATTACAATGATACTGAATAGACTAATAAAAATGTCAATTGTCTTCAAAGTTTCAGTACTTCAACTGTTTTCAAAATTTCATTTTTTACCTTTTAAGATTTCTTAAAATTTATGTCATTTTTTTACCTCTTAGGATTCCTTATAATTTATGTGTTTTTGATTAATCTTTAAAATGGAAAAACAAATGAATAGTTTTGTTGTTTGTTTCATAGGTAATTTTTTTTTTGTAATGTAGAATTAGTGTAGAAAAATAATAAAGAGCTCCTTGGTGTCTAGAATCTAGCCCAGCACCTGATACACATAAGTATTTGTTAAAAGAATCAAAACTGTTGCTGTGGTTGAAATCTTTGCTAATTTGATTCTTTGTTTCTGATAAATTCCTTATTTCTATGTTTTATAAATACAATTTAAAATAGGAGGACTATTTTCTCTGATGAAAATTGTATACTTGCCCATAATAATACTTGTCCAGAAAACAGAAGAGCTACTGTGACAGTTAATAAGAACTACCTGGACTAAAAATTAATTATCTTCCCAGTACCTATTACCCCTTGCCCCACTAAGTTGCAATACTCAAATTTTCCTTTGCAGAGCCACCCCTCATCACTGGGTAGTAGCTATTAGCTGAGGTGAGATTGAACTGACTCCAGTCCAGGGGTGGACCCTGAACTGGGATAGACCAACCAATCAGAAAATGCCCCTTCTCATGTATGCACATGCACAGTCTCCAGGCCACTGAGATTGATGATGAGAAGTTCAATCAGGGAGCATATTGAGATGTGAGAACACATGAAACCCTCCTTCCTGTGAGACTGTTTTGGAATCCTGAAGGAAGCCTGAAGATGACATTATAGAGAAGCGCAAAACTACGGAAACTGTAGAAAAACAGAGCCATGTCCCTGACTGAGCTATACCTGAAACCAGTCCTAACACTGAACCTTACTGTTTTATGAGCCATTAGATCCCTTTTGTTTTTAAGCCAGTTAGTATGTGGTTGCCTGTCCTTTGCAAGGGTAAGAGAATAATGGTTATATAGCTTTATCCCCATCATTACAGGAATTTTTAAAAAAATATTAGATTCTCCACAAAATATTTTAAGATTAAGTTTTTGCTTTTAGAGAGAGACACAACTAATTCCAAAAGCACAAAAGTTTCCTCTGATTAGAATGCAAAGATACATTTATGTATTTTAGACAATAAAACCACTAGCAAAACAGGTCAAAGTTTATGAGAAACTCATAAGTATTGCATACTTTTTTCCCGCACAAGTACCCAAGATATTATGGGTTTTTGCATGGCACAATCAATTCATCTATCTTTATGCACACCTGATATCTATCATTATACCTTTTAGGTACTATTCATTAGAAAAACCCTATTTTGAAGGAAGTTAGAAAACAAGTTGTTGTTAACAAAAAGTCCATTTAGGTAACCTTTGCAGAGTTGGTGTTTTTTCATGCCAACAAATCTTTTGCTTTATATTCTGACTTGGTTTCCATCATTGTTCATTTCAAAACCTCCCCAAGTCAGACTTTCCATGAAGAGCCATCCAAAACAGAATATATTTGGAATTCTGCTTCTCATGACCTAGTTGTATCACAAGAGGGATCAAAGAGGTTTTGTTCTGTTTCTATAATCAGCTATTTCTTTGAGAGGGCAGATTCATAAGAGTTTGAATTATGCTTAGAAATGCATACAAGGCAAGCAGCTACATGGCATTTTAATTACCTCCCTCCACTCCAATGAAAAACAACACCAGGCACAAACAGATGTCTCAGGTTAAATTCAGTAGATTCTCTTAACATACCAAATAATTGGACTGTTTCCTTTCTCCCTGGGCCTTTTCTTTTCTTTTTACTTATTTTAGTCTGTTTGCTCTCCTAGCTCTTCCTTTTTATTTCGGAAGCATTCACCTTTTGCTAATGTTAAGAAAATTCCTACTGGACAAATTCTTCTCCTTGCTAGACTCTACATGACATAGTATTAATATTCACAAAGGGAACAGATGGCTGCCTTTGGAATCCACCAATTATAGTAGTACCTTGCTTAGTCTGAATTGACTAATTAAAATCCTCAATTAACTAGAATGGAAAATTCAGCATGTACAACCCCTATGGTGACCTCATGTTATAGCAAGTTTGCAAATGAGCATTTAGAATTCTTTCCCTGCCCTTTGAGGGGACAAAAACAAAAGGCAAGGAAACAGACTCATCTAAGGGATTTATGAAAACTCTGAAAAAACTCAAACCCTGATATCCATGGTTTGCTCTGGCATCACTATACATCTAACCAAAGTTCCCATATTTTTCAACATATACATCTATAATTTTGTTCTTTTCAATCATCACTGAAATTTAGATTAATCCATATATTGAGATTTTCATTTTTATATTCAATTTGATCAGCATTTACTGAACCTCCAAAGTACTCAAAATACTGTGCTGCTGGGATGCCGGGGTAGCTCAGTTGGTTAAGCATCTGCCTTTGGCTCAGGTCATGATCCCGGGGTCCTGGGATGGAGCCCTGCTCAGCGGGGAGCCTGCTTCTCCCTCTACTCTCCGCTCCTGCTCTCTCTTGTTATCTCTGTCTCTCTCAAATAAATAAATAAAATCTTAAAATACTATGCTGTTAAGGCCCCCCCCCAAAAAAAAAGAAAAGAAAAAGAAAAAGAGTTTTCTAGTTACCATTGCTGCCTAAGAAATCACCCAAAACTGATGGCTTAAAATAACAGCAGTCATTTTATTATGATCACAGATTCTGTGGGACAGGAATTCAGGAAGGCCTCAGATGGGTGGTGGTGGCATTGGATATCTCTTGTGGTTGCACTAAGGTAGTGGTCAGAGCTGAGAGAGCAGGGGGTTGGAGGAACTGAGGACTTTATCTTCCTTTAAGTAGCTTCTGGGCTTATCCATGCGGTGTCTCTGAGTGGGCTAGTTTGAACTTCCTTGCAGCATGATGGCCTCAAGACAGTTGGGTTGCTTACATGGCAGCTCAGAGCAAATGTTCTGGCTAACAAGGGAGAAATTAATCACCTTTTATGACCTAACCTTTCAAGTCAAACAGTGTCATTGCTGCTACTTTCTGTTGATTACAAGTGAGTCCCCAGTCCCTCCAAATTCAAGGGGAAGAGAATTAGATTTTGTGTCTCATTGAGGGAGTGGTAAGTTTCTAGAAAAGCATGTGGGACTGAGAATGTGGTCATCTTTGAAAGACACAGTTTTCCATGATGAATGAGATACAACATCTTTTCCAAAGAAGCTCATAATCTAGTGGATAAAGCATGATTCTTGAACTATGCACTAAGGTACCCCAGGTATCTGTAACAAATTCACAGCATACTTGACATTTTTGAGGGAAACAATATGACATCTGTCAGACACAATGTGAATTATTACTAGTAAGTTGTTTGGACCTAATTACTTAATAAGTGGAACTGTTTCTTTTGTCCTAGTTATACCATGAAAAAAACTTACAGAGACAGTTTAGGAATCTCTGGGATAAAAACAAGATATAGACATTCAACTACAGTCTTAGCAGGGCCATAATTGACATTTGTAGGGTCCCGGGCATGAATACAAATGGAGCTACTAGCTTGCTCCTTTCTTTTCCCATTACAGCTCCTACCTTTGTGAGATGACATGCATGTGTGTGGACACACCAGCTTTATACCCAAGCTCTGTGCATTCTTTCTCCCACTTCAATAGCAGCTTCTCCTTGGCCCTTGGAGTGAGCATCCCAGAGGTAAGTGGCCCTCTGGAGGAAGGGCCAGTGGAAGAAGCCCACACAGAAGTGGACTCTGGATTTAAGCTAGGAATTCTGGAGTCCCGGGTACCTGAGACATGATCTAGGGAAGGAGATCAGGGTTCTGGATGAGCACGCCCCCTTCGCCTTGCAGACCTTTTGCCCATTTGGAGGGGAGTGGCTGGACGGCCTTCTAAAATACAGGGACCTGTGCAAATCCTGGTCTAAGGGAGGTATTGAGACCCAGCACAGAACCTAGCATATAATTGGTCCTCAAGTTATATTTGATGAATAAATTAATCCAGAGCAGGTTCTGGTAAGTATGATGACAGAGATTAAATACTGGCTGCTATGGAAATTGAAACAAAGAACAATTAATTCTAACTAGGTATCTTGGGAAGGCTTCTGTGCATGTTACCTTCAAGGATGAGGGAGAGAATTAGAAAGAAGTGGGATGGGAACTCAGTAAAATGCAGGGATTAACGAAGCTGCTAGAGGCAAGCATCAAAAGAAAATCTAAAACTATGTTCACCATCAGTGGTGAATCTGAGTTTAATAGCTTTCTGAAGCATACGCAGAGGGGCTTTCTTTCAAAAAAAAAAAAAAAAAGAGTATGAAATCAGGTACAAAAAGATCACACAAATTATATGTTTATAAAAGGTCACAAAGTCACAAATACAAAACAAAAATCTAAAAAGAGTAAGGGTGTCTGGCTGGCTCAGTCAGAAGAGCATATGACTCTTGATCTTGGGCTTGTGAGTGCAAGCCCCATGTTGGGTGTAGAGATTACTTAAATAAATAAAACTTAAAAAAAAGCCCAGAAAGAGCAATTTTAAATTAATTATTTGTCTGCCACACTTCTATAATACTTAGAATATTGTTTTGGCTGTGTAGTCTGACTGCTTTTTTTTTTGACTACTTCTTTACTAAGTATCAATTTTATGTTCTGTAGACAGAATAGAAAGATAATTTGCTCTAGTGTTGATTGAATGTTTTAAAAAATTATTTTTAGTTTATAAAACTTTAATGCCATCATTATTTGTAATGACATGCAAACTGCTGTCAACTGTTGTCAATTGGGGAAACCTCTTGTCATGCTGTTGAACTGTTATAGACCTGCTCTATTTTTAGTATAGTTACAGGTTTCTTCCCTTCAAACCTAGCAATTCTGAAATATTCTGTTTCATACAACTACCATAAACTATGAAAAGTGTGGGGCTTTTATAATTGTATATACTGTATTCTCAAATATATTCCTGAGAGGAGAAAGCATTTGTTTTGATTAGATCTTGATGGGAACAAAACCCTCTGTTAAAATTTTATGCACTTGATGATTGGAAGAATTTTCTACAGATTAGCTTCTGGCTCTGTAATTCCTACCTCCACCACCATATGCTGTCATGTAATAATCAGCCTCTGGCTCTGCACCTTTGTGTCAAGAAACCAGGAGAATTGACACAATGGGCAGTAAGGGTATTCTTAGAATCTGTCCCTACACTGGGATAGCTAGCTGTCAATAATTTTCATGGAACTTAACTGTGAACCATATAAATGACAATGTACTGAAATTGTGTGTATCAATCAACTGCTCCTTAACTCATATCCTCAAAAGGTACAAGGCTACCGAGTACCACCTAGCATGAGGGGAACCTGGAGAGGAAAGAGACAGTGGCCTTAACCAATTGCTGTTAAAAAAAAAAATTACTGTGCACATTTTACAAAATCATGTGCCCATATGAACCTAATGCTGTGGCCCTCCCAGGACCTCAGAAAGGGCCCACGCAAACTAGGCACTTAAAGCTTAAACCTCATTCCTGTAAATCCACCTCTGCTCACCATTCTCTCTATGTCACTAAAGGAAAGAAGTAGCCCAAACTGAGAAAGCACATTCTGTAATAGAAATAACATTGGATTGGAATCTAGGGAACTGGGGCTTTGGTCCCAGCTCTCTCAGCTCTGTTCCTTTGGGCCACCCTTTGGGACTTACTCTTGTTATCTGTTAAGTACTGGCCCTTCCTCATCTGCAAAAAGGAAATGGGAAATTGGCATTCCATTGTGGGACCTGGGAAGTAAATCATACTGAATTATGTAAATTATGTACATTTTAGTCCATGTTATTTCCATCGATTAGTACTGCCATTTCCGCAACTCACATTCATGTGAGAATTACAAACAGTATGCAAGAACTTAAAAATAGTTTACTCTGACATAGAGAGGTGGATGTACTGCAAAACACTCATGAGAAGCAAGAACAAACAAATTGTCATTCTGAATACCATCACTGAAAGTATACTGGAGCCTTTTTCCTCCGGTTTTAAAAAAGTTTGCCTTTCAAAAAAAATGTGCAGAAGTCACATAAGCTCCTGTAAAAACACTGCAAATGCAGAAATTTACATAGCAAAAAATATGGGTCTCATCTCCAAATTTCACTCCCGAGAGGAATTACTGCTAACAGTTTAGACAAGTGTGTAGCCGTCCAGAACCAGTCTATGCACACACAATGGCAGATGACATTTTGAAATATTAACTGAGGGGTTTTCTTTCCACTGCATTTCCTGGTGGTCCTGGCCTTTCACCCATTCCATCAGCTAGCACATTTGGCCTTCACTGCCTCAGGAAAAGATAACCCAACTGAATACATTAAAAAAAGGAAGTCAACAACTTTTGAGTCTCTAATTTTGAGTTTCTAGTCCTTGAGGGAAGAGAAAGACACAGGGAATAAAAAGAGATTTGGAAGAATATATGATAAGTCAGAAGAGGCCTTAGAGCTTTTAAGAGTAGATAAAAAAAGATTTCAGCTCTTGGGAGAAGAGAGAGATTTAGGAAGAAAGGACCTCTGGCAACTTATGCTGCTTCTCTCTGAAAATTAGAAAAAGGGCACATTTTGGTGAATGAATTACAATAAGGTGCCTTGTTGAGTAGATCCTTCCTAGGGGCAGTGGCTTAGACATCTGGCAACACCTTTGTACAAAGACAAAAGCCCTTCCTTCTTCCAGCAGCCTTAGCCCCATGCCAAGGGTCTTGCCTTTCTAGATTTCAGTCCTATTCATGCCACAGCAAGTATCTCTCTAGAGTGTTCAAACTACAAAACTGTATAAGACATCTTTCCTTGTGGGGTCCTGAGAAAGAAGGTCTTCTGTCCTGCCTCCCCAACTCAAGTGAACTTGGTAGTAAAGTGACAGGACAAAAGCAGGCTTAGGGAATTTGAAGGTAGAGACGTTGTGCCTGCTTTCTAGGTAGATGCTCAGGCAGGGGTGGTGGCAAGTCCTGGGAGGAAAAGAAATGTCAATGGGGGTAGCTAACTTTTTACAGTAATGCAGTATTTTATTTATTGTCTATTAATAACTAATATTTGAGAACATTTATAAAATGAAAAAACTTAATCTAAGAGAAGTTCAACTTGCTTTTTTTACATTTCAATATCAGGTGTTAATAAAAAAGATAGTCGAAATTATGGTCAGGGTTATATCAAAAATTTATAATAAATGCTTGGTGTTAGTCTATATACAATTTAGTTTTTGGCATAAAGTTCTTTGACTGCAAGAAAGAACATTTGGTTTACTTCACTAGTAGTAATACTTCTTTCTTCTCTCTCTCTTTTTTTTTAAAGATTTTATTTATTTGAGAGAGAGAATGAGAGAGAGAGAGCATGAGAGGGGGGAGGGTCAGAGGGAGGAGCAGACTCCCCGCTGAGCAGGGAGCCCGATGCGGGACTCGATCCC